ATCTTATCAGTAGTCGAGGCGAATACCTTTCTGTCGTCCTCGCTTTTGTGACTTCTCGGGGCCACGACAACGCGCGACCCACAGCCCATCCATCATCCCAACAACCAAGCAGCGAGTGTCCCCAACAGCCAGGCTTCAGCAGGATGGCTGAGGAGATGACAGCCCCCCCCCCCCCCCCCAAAAAAAAAAAAGATAAACCCTAAACCCTGAAGTCCTTGCATCGTTCAACCCGGCGCCTGAGCTGCATCTCAACAAGGCCAGCTGCTGCCACGCCAGTCACCTCCCTAAGTACAGGCCCCCAGTTCCGAGCTTAGGGTTTGGGGTTTAGGGGATTAGGGGCTTAGGGGTTTAGGGGTTTAGGGCTTCAGGGCTTTAGGGCTTTAGGGCTGTAGGGGTTTAGGGGTTTAGGGTTTAGGGGTTTAGGGGCTTAGGGGCTTAGGGCGGCAACACCGAGCAGTTTCATACGGGAGAGCGGAAACTGTCCCACACCTGCGACCTGATACCTGCACTCTCGGACCCTTATTCCGAAGGTACTGGCTGAAGGCGTCTTTTAGTAGGCCATGCTTTGAGGTATTCATCACTTTGGGCGGTACGGCATGGTCACAAGCCTTGCGGATGGGTGGTGTTCCTTTGTGTCACATGGACAGATCTGCTACTACGCCCGAGACCCAAACGGAGTATTGATTGGAGAGTCTACGCACAAGAAGCCTCCTTCAACGCCATCGGGTTGGCGCTGTGCCTCAAGCCGTGGCGGGTTCTACTATTTTCCTGTGGATGCTTCTGGAAGGTCGACGGGGGAGTCAACATGGCAAAAACCACCTGCAGATTTACCAGACGGATGGGCTTGCTCCTGCCAGGCCAACGAGATCTACTACTATGCTAGAGACCCAAACGGAGTATTGATTGAAGAGTCTACGCACAAGAGGCCTCCTTCAACGCCATCGGGTTGGCGCTGTGCCTCAAGCCGTGGCGGGTTCTACTATTTTCCTGTGGATGCTTCTGGAAGGTCGACAGGGGAGTCAACATGGCAAAAACCACCTGCAGATTTACCAGACGGATGGGCTTGCTCCTGTCAGGACAACGAGATCTACTACTACGCTAGAGACCCAAACGGAGTATTGATTGGAGAGTCTACGCACACGAAGCCTCCTTCAACACCCTCGGGTTGGCGCTGTGCCTCAAGCCGTGGCGGGTTTTACTATTTTCCTGTGGATGCTTCTGGAAGGTCGACGGGAGAGTCAACATGGCAAAAACCGTTCCACTATTTTCCTGTGGATGCTTCTGGAAGCTCAATGGGGGAGTCAACATTGCAATATGCACATGCGCCATTGGCACGTGTGACTGGCAGAACAGGTGTGATTTCGCTTAGTCCCTCGGAGATACATTTTTCACATGACTCTATCTCCAGACGATTTCGATGCGGCCGCCCTATTCAGGCAACCTACGAGCAGCTTCGTCGCGGTGAGATTGCAGTTAGCATGCTTCCTGACATTTCAGTCACATTGCAAGACGGGAAGTTTTGGGCATATTCCGGGAACCGGAGACTTTGGGTTTACCGAAAGCTGCAGCAAGAGGCATTGCTGGAGACGGTGGATGTAAGGTTGATAACCACTAGAATTCCGCGGAAGAAATTCACCACGAAAAATGGTGGAGTTTCTGTCGTTGTCCGCCAGTGAAGCCAGCAGGTAGTTTCCATCTACTTGCCCGGCTTCCCTGAACCGTCAACATGATCTCGGAACAAAAGGAAGGTCTCGTTTTGGCGGGGCTGACAGATTGCAGCTAGTCTAGGCCTGCCTGTGCCTTCAGGAAGTCCTGGTGCAACCGGACCATTCCCTACACCAAGTTTACATGTTGAGTGTCCCGACAATCGCAGAAGGAATGATGGGTTTAATGGTTGTCGCAGCAATTCGGCCTTTTTTGAAAAAAAGAAAACGCGACACGCCTGCGGCCTAAACTCTAAACCCTCCCTTTAGCTGGGACTGAGTTCGTCTGAGCATCTACTACGTTGGACGCTGGAGCCCTCTGCTTGTCGAGATTACCGGGTACCTGAATTGGGCTGAAAAGTAGTTAGATGTACCATTACCTTATTTATCACCCCCCGCTAAGTCCCTAAACGCTAGACCTAAACCCCACTGCATAGGCATGGGACAAGAGAGACTACGAAGCTGAGTGGGCGAGCCGCATTGCTCAGGTCCAAGGGCTTCAAGGGTTGAGGGCTTTCGGGTTATTGGGGTTACTTGGGTTTTAAGTTTAAGGGTTATTAGGGCTTTCAGGGTTTTAGGGCTATGAGGCTTTAGGGCGATTACGGTTGAGGCTTTGGGGCTATGAGGGTTTTGAAGGGTTTTAGGGCTTTCGGGCTTGAAGAGTTATGGGTCTTAGGGCTACGAGGGTTTCTAGGTTTTTGGGAATCCAGGGTTCAGGCTTTTGGGCTGGACCTCAGAAGGCTGAGGATTTGAGGGCATTTCTGTGGCCTTGAACACGCAACCCTCAGGCCTAAACCCCTAAGCCCTCAACCCTAAAGGGTTTAGGGTTGAGGGTTAAGTCCTAAAGCCCGAAATCCTCAAAAAGAAGCCCCTGAACCCCTAAACCCCTACACCCAGAACCCTCAGCCGCCCAGACCACGTCCCCCAGAGCCTCAGTGGCCTGTTCTGGTCAGCAGCATGGGCAGCAACAGGGCCCGGTGCGACAGCATCATGCGTCAGCAATTTCAGAGAAGGCCCCTGGCGATCGTGGAAATACAGCTTGTGGCCAGATCGTGCCTGCTGCTTCATGCAGTTGTGCCAAAGGCATGCATGCTTCCCTTCAAGATGTCTGACACCTCCCCCCGCGACCGCATGTCTTATAATTTAGGGGGCCCTGAGCAGCGATAAGACAGCGCAGATGCCGAAACGTCTTGGCGGAACACTTTTCGCAATGTTTGGGCACCGCGACGACAACGAGTCGACATTGTGGCATCTCGTGGGTTTCCAAAAAACGAGGGAAGTCCGCCATTTTCGCCCTGCGAGCTGCGTCATTTGGCGCATTCACACAGCAAGGCAGCACCCTTGAGCAAGATGCAGGTGGTTCGAGATGTCAGCAAGCTGGCTGTTGCTAAAAGGCTGAGAAGGTTAAGAGTTCAGAAGAACCCTAAATCTCAAACCCTAACCCTAAACCCTAAAAAACCTAAACCCTAAAAACCTCGTAAAACCCCAAACCCTAAAAACCTCCTAAACCCTAAATCTAGACCCCTCAAGGGCCCCCTATCTCCTAAGAGCCTCCAAGGTCCTCTCCACATGGAATCGGAGCGTACAACCCCGAGGCCCTGCAAGGGTGCAAAGGTTTTGAAGGGTTTAAAGGGGCTTGAAGGGCTTGAAGGGTTTTCAGGGTTCAGAGGCTGTTAAGCATGTAAAGGGCTTGCTTAAAGGGCGTTATGGGTGTATAGGGTTGAAAGGGTTTCAAGGGTCTTAAGGGCCTTCAGGGCTTTGAGGGTTTTAAGGGTTTAAAGGGTGTAGGGGTTCAAGGGTTTAGGGGGGCTCATGGTGCTGACTCTTGGGTTTAGGGCTTTCGAGCTACGAGCTTTGTGGATTTGAGGGTAGAGGACTGAGAGCGGATTTAGGGCTGAAAGGCCGAAAGCTGCCGAAGCGACTTATACTTCACGGGCGCCAACTAAATAGCTTTGAGCCGCGTTTAGTCATAATGTCCTATTAGAGTCAAAGAGGCCGGTATATCTCAGACCGCCTTGGGGGTTTAGGAGGTTTCGGGGGTTTAGGGCATTTAGGGGTTTAGGGGGTTGAAGGTGTTTAGGGGGTTCAGTGGGTTGAGGGGGTTTGAAAGCACCCACGAGTACGGATGTACTGAGCCGTGGCACATGGGAAGCAGACGAAAAACGCATTTTCCCCACAAGATGCACGTAGAACCCATGACAGACAGAGAAATGGTGTGGTCTCAAGTATCCCTTCAAGACGCACATGGGCTAGCTCCTCTGGCAAATCAGATTCCTACTTCACACACGCTTTGCACACGTCGTGTCCGAGAGCACTTAGGAGTTCTCACAACCCCAATGCTGAACCCAGATCAAGCGCACCACGTTACCCTAAACTCTAGACCCTAAACCCTGAACCTAAACCGGAATGGTCCAACCCTCGGCAAACAAGACCTTCGCTGCGGCTGATGAAGGCAGCCACTGGCTGGGCGGAAGCACCGTGGCAAACAAGGCGGGGATAGGCTGCATGGACAGTTTAAGTAGGGTTCAGGGTTTAGGGTTTGGTGTGACTTTGCTGCGGGTTTAGGAGCCAAAGGATTCCTATCAATGTGAATAGGTTTCCTATTAAATTGAATAGGGTTCGTAGGGTTCGTATTAATTTAAGAGGAATCTTACTGAAATTAATCGGAACCTGTTGGCATTCATACGATTCCATTTAAACAAATAAGGATCCTATTTAATTGACAGGAATCTCCCCCCTCCCCCCCGCTTTCCCCCCGCTTTTTAAGCCGTGCAAGCTTGTTTCACAGTATATGAATCGTTCTGAACCCCCCCGTTGTTTTAGCCGTGCAAGCTTCTTTCAAAGCATATAAACGGTTGAAACACATGATGCGAGCAAGGCCCCCCCCCCCCCCCCACCCCCCCGCTTCCCTGCAACCCCCCCCCCCCCCTCCCCCTCCTTTTTGAAGCCATGCAAGCTTGCTTCAAAGCATATGAGTTTTGAAACCCATCATGCGGGCGCTGTGTTGCAATTGGGGGGGGGGGGGGGGGCTGCGCTCTCCTACCGGTTCCTCAACTTCACCACTTCCTAGCGAAGACAGGTGCCCAGATCCCTTCTTCCGGAGCCCTAAGCCCTAAAGGCCCTTAAACCCCTTAAAAACCCCAAAAAAACCCAATGCACGTCTGCAGAAGCTTAGCGTTACAAAGGTCCGGAAAACCCTGAACCCTGACGGAGCCCTGTGGCTGAAGCGCAGTATTTTCGCGTTTACATCGCCTCCGCAAGCAGCCCGGTTTCCTCTTCCCTTCCTCCTGCAGTCAGATGGTTACGGCTTCGCCCAGTTCGATAGGTCACCAGGAGGCCTACAAGGCCTCCGTCACGGTCTTCTTGAAGTCCCCTTGCCGGCAGACAACGGCCTCAAGCCACGCGGCCTCGCCCGGGGCGCCTTCGGGCCCCAAAAGCGCCGGAAATCCAGCAGGCAAGAAGAAGGAGGCCTTAGGGAAGTCCCGGAGCTTGCTTTCCAGCCAGTCCGAGACGCACATCAAGGCCCATGAGGCCCGCAAGAGCTTCCAGCGGCCCAAGTTTTGGGTCTTGTTTTTGGGCTGGTTCCTGGCCAGCTGCGCAGGGTTCGTGAACACCTGCGCGTTCTTGACCTGGGGCATGTTCGCCTCTCACATGACGGGTGCTTCATCGAGCATCGGTCTGCACCTGGAAGGCTACCACCACAAGGAGTCGACCCTGCTGCTTAGGGATACTTTGGGAATAGTTTTGTATACTTACTTGGGTACTTTACTTCCTTAAGAAACAGCTACAATAGTCACTTTGTTAAGGCTCCAAGTTCAGTATAGGCTGGAGATTCATCAGGCCTTGGCAGTGGTCTTCTCCTTCGTGCTGGGCTCCTTCACCTGTGGCCTCCTCATCGATAAGAACCAGGTGCACTTCGGGGGGAAGTCGTGGTACGGCGTGGCTCTGGTTGGGAACGCAGTGCTGATCTTCACCGCTGCGCTCATTCCGAAGCAGCCTCTGCTGTCAGTGTGCTTGATGGCCGTCGCCTGTGGCCTGCAGAATGCCATGTGCACTTCGCACTTTGGCGCCGTGGTCCGCACAACGCACCTCACCGGCACCCTGACGGACATCGGCTCGACCCTGGGACGCGCCGCGATGATCTGCCTCCGGCGAGGATGCAGGCGATCGCCCATGAACGTCCTGGAGAAGGCGGAGATCGGCGTGGACGCACGGAAGCTCTTGGTGCTCCTCCCGATGTGGCTGAGCTTCGTGCTGGGCAGCATCATGGGGGCCTACGCTGAGGATGCCTTCGGCATCCAGGCCCTCTTCTTCCCAGCCTCGATGACGCTCGCGATCGGGCTGGTCTACATGTTCCTCCGGCAGCTGCTTTCGGACATGTTCACCCGCATCGAGCAGGAGAGCCTCAAGGATCAGATTCAGGCTGCTGGGACCCGGAGTAGGCCCTTATTTCCTTCTTTTTAGGGCTGGGGGCTCCCTTGTACTCCCCTTAAAGCCACAAAAAAGGGAACCCTCTTGGTTCCTAGATTACTCCTGGGTCTAGGCTGTGCACCTTGCGGTCCAGCGTGCGAACACGAGCCTGTCGAACCTGGACCTGTCGGAGGCAGGGGCCGAATTGGCAGAACTCCAGGAGTTGGACGAGGAGACTTCCTGTTGGTTAGTAGGGAAGGACGGGAATAAGGCACCATATATCCCCCTGTATGCCCTATAAGGGATTGCATATGGTACCTTCTTCCCCCGTTCCCTACTAACCAACAGTAAAGGAGATGGGGACCATGCTCGAAGCACTGGAGGCGAGCCGAATCACGAATGAGACGTCGCCCATCCGAAGCAGTTCGCCTCAGAGCTGGAGGACGCCAATTGGGGTGTTTAGGGTGTAGGGTTTGGGGTTTAGGGTTTAGGGCAGATATCGTTTCAACTTTGAAGATGCGGCTTCAGCAGTACACAGCAATACCCAACCAGTACACAACCTTGTCTGGTGTGCCGCCTTTCCTTTCGTGCGGGCGTTTGCCAACACACGGAGCTCCTTGAACTGTTTGGGGTTTAGGGGCCAGGCTTAATCCAGCCCTAAACCCTGAAGCCTAAACCCTGAACCCTGAACCTTGAACCCTAAAGACTGAGCCCGGAGCCTGATGGGCCTAGAGCCGTGCGATTGACAATCGCCTGCTTCGTTCTGGGCTGTGCCGCGACAGTGTGCATCGAAGGGGCTGGACGCCACCCCAGATCCTACACCCTATACCCCAAACTCCATAAACCCGTTTTGGCATTTAGGGTCAAGTTTAGGGGTTGGTCATCCCCATGAGTTCGGATGTCTCAGAGGTGCCCTGTTGCAGCTTGCACAAGCCAACTGTTCCAACCGTTCTCTAGACATTCCATTGAGGGGATCAAGATTCCCATCTGCATCCCAGGGCCTGCTCGCTCCCACAGGCTTGCGGGACCCTAAACCCTAAACCCTAAACCCTAAACCCTAAACCCCAAACCCTAAACCCTAAACCCTAGACCCTATACCCCATAATCCCTAAAACCCTTAGTTCAGGAAGGCAGGGGCATGGTCTTGGGACCTCGAGTTTCGGCCGCGCGCGGACGCTGGAGGGAGCCTTCGAGACTGCTCACGTCGATACGTTGGCTCCCTTTAGACTCGAGGTGAATTAATATATGGGTCGGACGAAGTACGAACAGTATCCCCTTATGGGCCCCTATATGCTTCTACTATAACAGTCCCCGAAAACCCTTATTCTAGTTATGAAGGGCCCCTATCTTACCGACGGCACGGCGCCCTTGTCGTTACGACACTAGG